TCCCTCTCCTCCTCCCTGAGGGGGTGTTACTAAAGCCAGGGGGGCAACACTTAGGCGACGGAGCAGAGTCTTTAAGTGGGGCCTCGTTGGCCTCATCTTCCACCTCCTCCTCCTGCTGCTGCTGCTGCTGCTGCTCCTCCTCCTCCTCTCCTACTCCTCCTCCTCCTCCTCCCTCCTCTCTCCCCCCTCCTCCTCCTCCTCCTCCTCCTCATCTTACTCCTCCACCTCCCCCTCCTCCTGCATCCTCCTGTTCCCTATGTTTATCCTCCTCCTCCTCTTTCTCCTCCTCCTCCTCCCTCTGATCCTCCTCCTGGTCACCCTCATCATTATCACCCTTGGGAGGGTGTGATGACGAGGAAGGCAGGTTGGAGGAGCTGCGGGCCCTTCTCCTCGTTCCTCCGGCAGAACTCCAGGAGGTAGCCCTTGGCGCGCTCCATCTCCCAGGGTTCCTTGGCGAACTCACCAGCTGACTTCCGGAACTGTTTCAGCTCGTTATCGGAGAGGCTGTTCCGGATCATGGGCTCGAGCTTTGCCAAGGCCTCCTCGGCCACCGGGAGCTTGTTCTGAGCAACAGCTAAGACTGGGTTCTGTGATAGCATGCTGCTGTGAACCCATTGTTTAACCAATAGGATGACATCGTGTGGGTCGGTATCCAAATGATCACACCCGATCTCCCAAGGGTTGTCCACGTGTTGTTGGTAGAGCTCGAGATCACATCGACGCACGAAGCGGTAACAGTGGTTCACATCTGGGGCCTTCTCTGTTGGGTGTATGCCAACGAAGCCAACATCCATAGCAGCCGTGAATGATTGCATGTCCCACGTAGCGTTCAACCTGCGCAAGATAAGTTTCCTGCCCCGGACCCCATGCATATGCTCCTGGACCGTCTGCATAAAGTCTTCTGGGCATTGTAATATATCGTTCCGTGCGATGATGGATGACATTGTTCCAAAACGCTGGTCCGTCCCATTGTGTGTATGGCCTACTTGGCCAGAGACGGTCATGCAACTAGTGAAGATGCCTTTCAATGTCATATAGCTCAGAAAAGCCATGAACCACTGGTTCTTCCCCTCCCTCGCGGTGTTGTCTTGGCCGATGACTAAATGTTCTGGTAGGGTCAAATTTCGTTCCTTGAGTATCGGACTACCCCAGGCTGTTGGAGTATTAGGCGTGGGTTACTTGGCACTTCCCCTCTCTCTTTCCTCCTCCTCCTCCTGCTCCTCCTCCTCCTGCTCCTCCTCTTCCTCCTCCTCCCTTATCTCCTCCTTTCCCTGCCTCGTCATACCTCCTTCTCCTACCTCCTCCTCCCACTCCTCCTAAGCCGGCCCCAGCTGAGTTGTCAGGCGGCATACTTCGCTGTCCTTCTCATTGTCCTCCTCTCCCTAGTCCTGCTGTTCACGGGCTGCCCTGGCCCCCGACCTGGACCTGGATCACCACCCACGAGGGAACACAGACAGACAGAGAGTCAGAGGAGGAGGAGGAGGATGAAGCTGGAGCAGGATGAGCGGGCGGTGGGAAGGGGGCAGGCAGAGAGAGAGAGAGAGAGGGAGAGAGAGAGAGAGAGACGAGGAAGAGAGGGATACTGGAGGAAAGAGAGAGGCGAGAGAACTGGCGGGGAATACAGACTCCGAGGAGAGAGGTGAGAGAGGTGAGAGAGAGAGGGAGAGAGAGAGAGAGAGAGAAAGAGCGATACAGAGAGAGATGAGAGAGAAGAGAGAGAGAGGAGAGAGAAGAGAGAAGAGAGATATGTAGAGAAATATACAGATAGGGGGGGGATAGATGTTGCAAAATAGTAGGCCAGGCGGAGGGGGGGAGGGACAAGGGGGGGAGAGAGGGGAGAGAGAGAACGATATATATAATATATATAGAGAGAGAGCAGAAGAGAGAGAGAGAGAGAGAGAGAGAGAGAGAGAGAGTGATAGAGAGAGAGGGAGAGAGCAAGAGACAGCGAGGGACGAACAGACAGACCGACAGATCCTGGATCACTAGGGGGTGGGCGGCGTTGTCAAACCAGGGATAGATTCCACTTCGTCCACGACCATCGCCACCAAGGTGGCCTGAGCATTCGAATCCTTCCGGATATCCGCATCCCCGAAGAAAAAAAATTCGGCCACTCCGTGAACGATGGCCCCGGTCACGTGAAGTGCCGGGCGCCAGAGATCTTCAAATTGCTTGCTGGCAGATATGTTTCTCGGGACCCGAAATTTGGCCTGATCCATCCCGTCTATGTCCATCTTTAAAATGCGAGATGGCAGCTCGCAGCCTTTGCGGCACGACTGCTCGCTAAGTAGGTTCAAACGGGAATCCACAGCACGATCCGCGAATTGTTCATCCAAGTGTTTTTTGTATTCAACTGCAATCGCATTCTTCTGAGCAACAGAGTCGCACTTCGTGAGCTCCTGTTTGAGACGCTGGCATGTAGAACACTTGGCATGTTGGGCAATCCCCCGAATACGTAAACATGTTTTCCACTTCTCTGCGTACACCTTGTTGAAAGTCTTCTTGGATGCAACGGTGCTGTCCGCAACCATACCACAGTGCATCAGGTAGATGTCATAGAACTCAGTCATCGTCATGTGCTCTAGGTATTTAACAGGCCGCTGTTTGGGGTCTTGGGCACTCCGGCCCACAGAAACTGTCTCTTGGGCCACTAGATCATCGTACATATTCTCAGTGTCCCCAGGGCCATCTTGATCATATTCATCAATGGGTAGGTGTTCAGCGATGTTCTCATACATGTAGTTCAGCGTGGCATCCACTGACAACGTGGCCGGGCTCAAGTCTCCCTCCGGATGAGGCCCCCGTGACGTCATGAACCTCTGGTCAGGTGGGGGAGCTTGGGCCCCCTCTTTGATTGCCTTCACAATAGGGTCCACCCTTCCCTGCCAAAACCCAGTCAGTTGGTGAAAAGTGTAGCGACATACTGGATGTCCCAATAATAACGATTGCAATTTGCCCCTATTCTCATTGACTGGATTTTTTTTATCATATCGCGCAAAGTGTTGTAGAGAAAGATCTGCTGCTCATCGTGATTCATGTCCTTGAAATCTTTGATGAGGGCATTCAGCTTCTGGCCAAGGTCTGTCTCGGGAGCAAAGGGTTGCCAACACTTATCGGACCGGTTCTTACAACAATCAAAGTGCTGTACCTCGCTTGCCCCATACATAGTACCATCATCAGGCTGCTCTGGTTCCTCTGCCTCCACGTCTGAGGGAAGCACAATGCTACCGGCTGGCTGCGCTGGGGGGCCTGGCTTCTTCGGTGTCGGGGGTTTCTCTGGCGGAGAAGATGTCGCTGTAGGTGTCTCTGTTTTTCTAGCTTTGGCTTTCGGCGAAGGATCGTATCTTACATCAGGTGGAAGCACTGGACCGGCTCGCGGGTGAGACTGTGGAAATCTGACTGCTCTCTTTAGCATCTAACAAAGGCGCAATGTCTTGAGCCAGATGATTCCTGATCAAAACAGAAAGCCAAAAACAAACATGGCATAGATAACATTCCCTTCGCTCTTGACTCGGGGCCCTTGCCGAAGCTCCCGCCAGAGACGTCCTCACAACATGCACGACGGTTGTCTTAAAGTTTATGTTGTTTTGTTATGTTTGGTTTGTTTTTGAATTATCGAATATTGCGAGGGAGCGAAAACAGCGAGCCAGAAGCTGAGACAGGCTGGACAGCGGGCCTCGGATAGAGGGGGTGAGGGCGAAGAAAGGAGCCCGACAAGTCTGATGTGATGAGGGGGGGGCCAGAGCAGAGATCTGGAAGGGCAGAGGACACCTACGGCCAAGCCAAACACAACGTCCCCTCAGCCTAGTCAGACGCGACATGAAACTCTCATCTGTCAGAGACATGCTGTCATGGAAACCTGGAAGGTCCTGGAAATCTTGAAACGACGAATGGAGTCCTGGGGTCCGGGAAGTTAGGGATGCAAGTCCTCGCAGTCCTGGAAATCCTGAAGAGTCTTGAAGTCCTGGGAGTCCTGGAGTCTTGGAAGCACTGAAATGGTGCAAGTCTTGGAAGGACTGCAAGTCCTGCAAATCCTGGAAGTCCTTGGAGGTCTTGAAGTCTTGAAAGTATTGGAAGTGAGTCCTGGAATCATGGAAGTCCTGGAAGTCTGAACTCAGTGTTGCAAGTCCGTCCTAGAGTCCTGGAAAGCCTGAAGTCATGCAAGTCCTGGAAGTCTGGGAAATCCTGAAGTACTGGATTCCATGTTTGGAGCGAAGTTCTGGAAGTCCTGGAGAGTCCACGGGAAGTTATGGAAGTCTCTGGATGAATCCTGAAAGACCTGTAAGTTCTGAAAAGTCCCAACATCTTGTAAATCCCATAACTATGTGATGCAAGCCCTGGAAGCCCTGAAGTCTTGTAAGTCTTAAGTCCTGGAAGGATTCTCGGATGCCCTGATGCCCCGATTCTCTGGAGTCCTGAGAAGTCCTGAGAAATGTCATGGAAGTCGTGGAATTCTGTCAGGTTGTGGCATCAGCAAGCGCACCGCGAAGGAATCCTGGAAGAAATCCTGGCACTCCTGAAAGATATTGAGTCCTGCAATCCTGGAAGGCAAGTTTAAGAAGGTCCTATCGTCTAGGGAGGGGTGGTGACAACAAGTGACCCAGACATCAAAAAACATGGCGCAGACATCAACTTGCTAGGAATCTCCGTTTCCTCCTCCTCCTCCTCCTCCTCCTCCTCCTCCTCCTCCTCCTCCTCCTCCTCCTCCTCCTCCTCCTCCCCCTCCCCCCCCCCCCCTCCCCCTCCCCCTCCCCTCCCTCCTCCTCCCCCTCCCCTCCTCCCCCCTCCCCCTCCTCCCCTCCCTCCTCCTCCTCCTCCTCCTCCTCCTCCTCCTCCTCCTCCTCCCTCCTCCTCCTCCTCCTCCTCCTCCTCCTCCTCCTCCTCCTCCTCCTCCTCCTCCTCCTCCTCCTCCTCCTCCTCCTCCTCCTCCTCCTCCTCCTCCTCCTCCTCCTCCTCCTCCTCCTCGAGCGGACGCCGACGACCGCCGCGGCGCTTGGCTCCTGCTCCTCGCTCGCGGCGGCGGCCAGGCCGCGCCGCAGCTCCCCCTGCAGGCGCACCAGCGTCTCCCTCAGCCGCCACGCGCCGGCGCCCTGGCCCTTGGCGGGCGGGTCGACGGCCGCCGCCGCCGCCGCCGAGGATCGAGGAGGAGCGAAAGGCTATGTTTAAGTCGGGCCTGTCCCCCTACAGGGGGATTTTCTACGAAAAATAATTACCCTGGCGACGTACCCAACCCCTGCGCAAAAGCGGGGCGCAAATAGTTTAGGATACTTTATAAGGGGGCGATGACGGAGCGAGGGTTACATATGTCTGCAGACGGAATTCGGGAGACTCGCAGGACACTGGCTACAGGAAAAGGGCTTGATAAAACTGATGATTTACAATTCCTGAGCACTCCTAGCCACTTCGAAAACGGGGATCACAGCAGGCCTCGAAAGTGGCGACAGGTTCACAGATCGCAGCCCCGCAGGGATGGCGAGGTCTCATTTGAATCTGCCCGTGGCCCTCACTGTGCTGGGCCCCCCAGCAGGCCTCGAAAATGGCGGCAGTTTCGCAGATCGCAGCCCCCCAGGGATGGCGAGGTCTAATTTGAATCCGCGCGTGGCCCTCACTGTGCTGGGCCCCCCAGCAGGCCGGCCTCGAAAATGGCGACAGTTTCGCAGATCGCAGCCCCCCAGGGATGGCGAGGTCTAATTTGAATCCGCGCGTGGCCCTCACTGTGCTGGGCCCCCCAGCAGGCCTCGAAAATGGCGACAGTTTCGCAGATCGCAGCCCCCCCAGGGATGGCGAGGTCTAATTTGAATCTCCGCGCGTGGCCCTCACTGTGCTGGGCCCCCCAGCAGGCCTCGAAAATGGCGACAGTTTCGCAGATCGCAGCCCCCCAGGGATGGCGAGGTCTAATTTGAATCCGCGCGTGGCCCTCACTGTGCTGGGCCCCCCAGCAGGCCTCGAAAATGGCGACAGTTTCGCAGATCGCAGCCCCCCAGGGATGGCGAGGTCTAATTTGAATCCGCGCGTGGCCCTCACTGTGCTGGGCCCCCCAGCAGGCCTCGAAAATGGCGACAGTTTCGCAGATCGCAGCCCCCCAGGGATGGCGAGGTCTAATTTGAATCCGCGCGTGGCCCTCACTGTGCTGGGCCCCCCAGCAGGGCTCGAAAATGGCGACAGTTTCGCAGATCGCAGCCCCCCAGGGATGGCGAGGTCTAATTTGAATCCGCCCGTGGCCCTCGCTGTGCTGGCCCCCCAGCAGGGCTCGAAAGTGGCGACAATTTCACAGATCGCAGCCCCCCGCAGGCAAGACAGAAAGAGGCAGGAAAGAGGCGGGAGGCGGGAGGAGGAAGGACGCGACCACACTGCTCTATTCAAAACGAATACCCAACCAAGGAGGGTTGGGAAAAAATGCCCTGGAAATAATCCAAAAATCATACAAAAATAGTATGGGGACTATTTGTTGAATATGTTTTGGCCTTGTTGGTGCATGTTTGGGGTATTTCTTATTTTTCGACGAAAATCCCCCTGTAGGGGGACACGCCCGACATAAGGCTATGTTACTCCCATCGTACTGAAGGACCACATCCCAAGGATCAGTTCGAGCACCCGGAAACATGTCGAAGGAGTGTCGAAAGAGTGTCGAAACAGTGTCGGGCGAGTGTCGCCCAGGGCCCGACACGTGAAAACCCTCGAGTTTCGGTATTGCTTGTGTGCTCGAAATGATGCCTGGTGATCAAGGTTACAGGACTGGAACATCATAAGCGAAGGGGCTGCTCGAGGATCTAACAAAAGAGGATCGAAGATCAAGGAGGACGGAGGAGGTGCTCGGCCAATTTGGGCCCGCTGGCCCTCCTCCTCCTCCTCCTCCTCCTCCTCCTCCTCCTCCTCCTCCTCCTCCTCCTCCCCCTCCCCCTGCTCCTCCTCCTGCTCCTCCTCCTCCTCCTCCTCGTCCTCGTCCTCCTCCCCCTCGCACTCCTCCTCCTCCTCCTCCTCCTCCTTCTCCTCCTCCTTCTCCTCCTCCTCCTCCTCCTCCTCCCCCGTTCCCTCCTCAGCCGTCCTCCCCCGTCTGTGGTGGGTCGACGCCGCCGCCGCCGCCGAGGATCGAGGAGGAGCGAAGCCTCAACGCGCCTTCGCGCCCGCTCGGCCCTGGCCAGAGCCCTCGCGCAGGGGCCCCTCGGGGTGGCAGAAGCGAAGCCCCCCCTTCTTGTGCGATCGGCGAGGCGGCACCTGCAGAAGTCCCGTCCAGGGGGACGGCAGCATTAGTCTGGTAGGCGACAGGAGGCGCGCGCCCGGGGCGACAAGGAGCCGAAGGCCGCGCTGACACGCGAGATCGGCCTCGAAACCTATCGACGCGCCAGGCGGGCGACGCCAGGGAGCTCATCTGGCGCCCGAACTCACCGAGCGCCGCGAGCGCAGACGGAAGGCCTTTCGGGGGGGCCCCAGGAGCTCCCCAAGAACCCCCAAACAAATTTCTCAAACCCCGGGAGACATCTGAGAGGCATCTGGTCAACAGCCCAGGCACGGCGACGGGGCTGGGCGGAAGGCCACTAGAACAACAACCCAGGCACCGCGGCGGGCCTGGGCGGAAGGCCACTAGAAAATGGTAGCGTCAACGCTGTCGAATAGTACGTAGCACCACGCAGATGCGGATAAGAATGAGGGGGCGGTGGGGACGTCGGCAGTCGGCGAGACTGTGGAGAAGCCCACCGCAGGCGCCAAAGTTTGACCAATTGTACAACGAGCCCGCCGCAGGCGCCGATTTTTTCTTCAAACCAATGTGGATCTGTCGTGGGTGAGTCGCGGGTGGGTCGCGGGTGGGTCGCGGGGTGGGTCGCGGGTGGGTCGCAAGTGGGTCGCGGGTGGGTCGTGGCTGGGTTGCGAATGGGTCGCGGGTGGGTCGCGGGTGGGTCGCGGGGTGGGTCGCGGGTTGGTCGCGGGTGGGTCGCGGGTGGGTCGCGGGGTGGGTCGCGGGTGGGTCGCAAGTGGGTCGCGGGTTGGGTCGCGGGTGGGTCTCGGGTGGGGTGGGTCGCGGATGGGTCGCGGGGTGAGTCGCGGGGTGGGTCGCGGGGTGGGTCGCGGGTGGGTCGCGGGGGGAACGACGACAACAAACAACAACACCAACACCAACACCAACAACAACAACAACAACAACAACAACAACAACAACAACAACAACAGCAACGCAACAAGCAGAATCCTCACCAAGGATTCTCACTTCAGCCACGCACCCAGGGACAATGAATGCCCGTTCGGCCCCCTCACTCTGATGAATGAGTGTACACAGGAAAATAAAGTTAGCATGCGTTGAGCAGTCCGTGCCAAACGTGACCATTGCTGGCCAATACCAACCAGTGCAAGGACGCGAAACGATTGTCAAGCCCACACAGACATCGTTGGGGCCCAGTGGGCGACAATGTGATACGCACGCTCCGTATGCATGTACTAAGTCAAACAAAAGGCTGCAATCTTAAAGTGCACACGCCTGGAGAAAACACGAAGTAGCGTCATGAACATTGCAAGAGATTGCACGTATCTAGACCACAGGTGACATTATACGCTAACTCCCTCATCGAAGGCACACGATCGGTTCACAATCACGTGCAATACCCCATCATCATCGCATTCGTTGCCATCGTCAACAAAACCAAAAATATCAGCCGCCATCACACATTCAACAAATGCCCACACTGTCAGGTACAATTACAAAATCGACTGGAGGGAATACCAGACCAACCGAGTGCAGTGCGGGGGGCATTGGCACTCGCAGCGCAGAAGGGGCAAGTTCCGTAACGCACGTGCGGGTGCTGCCACTTGGCGCAATGGTGTGCAGAAACCCTGTGCTGCTTACCCATAGACCTGTTGGCGCTGATGAGCGTGGTACGCACAAGTCCTGCGCTACCCACAGATCCTGATGCGCTCGTGCGCGAGGGGGGGCTGACAAGCAGTGCGGCGCTCACGGGAAGCGTTGCGTCCACAAGCGCGTCGGTACCCGTCACAAGTCCCGCGATGCCCGCACACACTACGTTGCTGACAGGCCCTACGGCGCTCGCAGGCATGCCGGCGAGGGGGATTGGTCCCTGGAGATCCCTCGGGGTCTCCCGAGGCATCCCTAGGTCCAAAAAGGGCAGACTCCTCTCCCCTTCAATGCCAAGAACAACAGCACGGAAAACTGTCCCGCCTCCTCCTCCTCCATCGGGGATCTGCTGACCCGGGCCAGTCCGGACCCAGGCCAGTCAAACTGTGTGGGAGCCTGCAGGACCGATCCTTTGCCCTGACCCGTGTCAGCGCGCCCCTGGCCCTGCAGGAGCCTGCAAGAAACCGGCGCTCTGACTGACCCACGTGTGCATTGACCCCCGTCTCTAGACGGGCGCGTTCCACCACTCGCAGGGCGACTACTCGCAAATGGCCTGGATCCGCCGCGGGGGATGGGACCTAGGATATGACTACCTACCAAACCACCTCAACCCAACCCGAAGACCCGAATTTCGGGTGGGGGGGGGTACGGGCTCCATATGTGTTTTCTCGATGTTCCCCGACCCCCCCCCCACTGGAAATGGAGGTCAATTTGAGGCCTTCGGGTTGGGTTGGGGTGGTTTGGCGGGTGGTGAGGATCAATCACATCAAAGCGGACATGTCTTTTTCGGACGCTTGCGAGTAGGCACTCTGCGAGTAGTTGGAGCGCGCGCGGTGAGTTTGCACTGACCCCCGTCTTTTGTGGACGCTTGCGAGTAGGCACTCTGCGAGTGGTGGACACGTCTTTTGTGGACGCTTGCGAGTCAAAGCGGACATGTCTTTTGTGGACGCTTGCGAGCAGGCGCTCTGCGAGTAGGTGCAGCGCGCGCGGTGAGTTTTTGCACGGACCGGCCGCCTCTGGAGCCCCCGACTCCGGGGGCCGCGGGCCCTGCCGGCCGAGCTCCGTGATCGGGTGCCAGCGTTATGTCGGGCCTGTCCCCCTACAGGGGGGTTTTCGACGAAACATAAACAATCCCCCAAAAATGCCCCAGGAAAGTCAAAAAATACCCCCCAAAAATAGTCCCCAGACTATTTTTTTTGACTATTTTGTTGATGATTTGTGGAGTATCTTTTTTATTTGTTCCTCGAAGATCCCCCTGTAGAGGGGCAGGCCCGACTCAGTGCCAGTGCCCTCCCTCTCTCGAGGCAGAGGCGGCTCCACCGGTAGAGCAGCGCGCGAGCGGAGGCTGCTCCCGGGCGGAGGGGCGCCGGCCCGGGCAAGGTCTGTATTGAAGGGGCCCTGGGGCACACAAATAAATACACACACATAAGATAATTCCCCATTTTTTCCTAATATTTTCTCGGATTTTGTCTCCCCCCACCACTTCCCATATTTTTCCATAGTTTCGGGGGAATCGAGCTTTAATTGTGTCTGTGTGTTCCTATTCCTCCTGATATATATATATATATACATATATATATACACATACACACTAAAGATACAGGGGATGCTGCAGGGCTGAACCTAAACGGTGTGTTTCGTTCTCGTGTTGTGTTCGTTGTCCCTCGCTTTTGTCTCCAATCCGCCTTTTGCTGCAAAGCAGAGTCGGAACGAAAACGGCCCACGAAATCAGCAAAAACACCGTTTAGGTCCAGCCCTGGGATGCTAAATATACCCAACCTCCGGTGGCAACTCACGGGAGCTTCCAATACCATCTGGTTGGCTCTTGCGAATCGACGCTAGTCGACGCTAGCCGACGATAGTCGACGCTAGTCGACGCTAAATCGACGCTCATCGACGCTAATCGACGCTAGCCGACGCTAAATCGGCGCTATCTCATCGACTCCCATACGCGAATCGATGCTCATCGACGCTAACCGACGCTTAAGGCGGAATAGAGAGGGTACACCAGGCTCCCGAGCGGGGCTACTGAAGAACGGAAAGAAGAAGAAACGGACGCCTGGCCACCCTGTCCGGACAGCACCTCCTGGGAGGGGCCTCCGATGCCAGCCACGTGCTGCAGCTGGGCCAGGCTGCTGACGAGCTCGGCGTCGAGGCTGTGGTCTGGCACGGGGGTCAGAGAAGGAGAGGAGGGGAAACGTCAGTCGGGAAAAAACAATCTCAATGTCACGCCGCCGTGGAGAATCCAACAGCGTGGCACTGTTGAAGAATCATTGGGCCCTGGGACAAGAACGAGGGAGTCACACGCTGACAGACTCCCAACGGCAGCGTAGCATTGATTCTCTACCTCCCTCCCGAGTCAGGGGGAGACCGGCTCAGGGGGAAGACATCGAGCTGGCGTCGCCGATACACCGATCCTGCGCGGGGTTGGCCATCTGCCCCCTATCGGCCCCCTATCGGCCAGCAGTGGGCCGAGGCATCCACCACCCCCGTGAGCCCATTCCCCCCCTGAAGTTCCCCTGAGGAGAGAGGAAGAGAACAGGAGGGTGGAGATGTAGGAGATGTAGGAGGGGGCGATGGAAGATTACAACGGAGCGTCTGGGGCAGAATACGTTAGGAAACAACTCCTGGGAGGCTTGCGGTCCCGAGGAAGAGGCTACTGAGCCCCACGAAACCGCATTGAACCACACTGAGCGGGAGCCCAAGATCGGTCAGCATCGAACCGGGAAATCGGATCGGATCGGAATGCGTCGGATTGGGCCGCATCGGCAGGGAGTCCGAATCGAGCCGATCGGCTGCGCCAGGATGCGCAGCGGCGCCATGAAAATGTTGAGCGCTCTCGGACCGTCGGAGCATCAGAATCGGACCGTCGGAGCGTCCCCCTCTGGTGGTGACTTCTTCTGTCTCAGGTGGATCTCTTGCATGGCATTCCCCTCCCTTCCCCCAACTAGAGGGCAAAAAATCCACCCCCATAATAATCACCCCGACACGCGAAGCCGTTTAGTAAAGGCACAATCGAGCCGGCCAGGATCGATTCGGGGATCCTCTGACCCGGGTCAATCCAGACCCGGGTCAGCAGGAAACCAAAAACTGCAATGCAGGAAAAAGAAACTGCAACGCAGGTCCTCGCAAACCCGGGTCAGCCAATACGCGCGGCCGCCTCGCGGCCACGAGCGGCTCCCTAACCCGGGTCAGCCAGAGGGGGCCTTCGCAGGATCCTGCAGGATCCGGCGCCCTGGCTGACCCCCGTTTGCACTGACCCCCGTCTCGAGGCTCCCGATCGATACCGAGTCGGATCGAACCGGGCTTTGGGTGGAGGCTGCCCCAACGGGGCTGGAGCGCAGCACAGCCGGTGCGACGCAAGCACGGGTTCACCGCGTGAACACCTGCGGCGATGGCCCGAGGCCCCACGGGAATGCCCCGAACGAAGGGCCTTCGGAGGTGGTGAGCCCAAACAACAGGGGGGGGACGCCAACACGGGCTGCATACCGATTCAGCATCAGGTCGGGCGTGTCCCCCTACGGGGGGATTGTGGACGAAAAATAAACAATACTCAAAACATACTCCAAAGATGATCAAAAGTAGTGAAAAGATCGTCCCCAGACCATATTTGTGACTATGTTTGAACATTCCTCCTGTAGAGGGACAGGTCCGACTTACATTCAGCACGAATAGGGGGCCACTTGCGAACCCTACCCCTACCCCCCACGATTTCTGAGGGGGAGGGTGGGGTTCCCTTTATTCAGGAGCTCCCGAGCGAAAAGAAACCCACCCTCCCCCTCGGAAATCGTGGTAGGGTTCGCAAGAGGCCCCCCAACTGTGGAGAGGCCGCCCGGGGTCAAGATAGATGGGGTCGGAGGATCGCGCCTGATTGCCGATGCATCGGCGACGTCGGGATGGAGAGAATCAGGCTCTAAATAAAGCCGCCTCGCCGATGCCTCGGTGATGCGGCGCGCGATGCTCGGGGGATCCCCTCTACTCTGGCGCAATTTGGGCAGCCTGGCAGCGAGGTTCGAGGATAAGTAGTGAAGTTTCGCAGTGGCTGGCCACTTTTGTCTTCCTGGGGCCTCTGAAGCTTCCAGAAATTTACGCAAAAACCTCGAGGGCATCCGGAAGACTCGAGGGCACCGGACCTTCTGGAACCTGTGGCGACCTCTGAAAACCGCCCGCCTCTGATATCACGAGAAGACCAGGGACCCTCTCGTATCGGCCTGGCTAATCGGGTCGGGCGAAAGGGGGGGGTTTGAGAATCAGCTCACGTAGCTGATTTTCCCAGCGCCTCCCGGCGCTGGAGGGAGCTATGTATCAAGAAATCGCCCCCTCGGTGAGGCCGAAACCAGCTGCATGCAGCAAATTTCGTGACCCCCCCCCTTCCAAATCCCCCTCTTTCGTCCGGCCTGTGGAGAAGCTCCGGTTGTGGTGTTGGCTACCTGCGTTAGGCAGTTCTGGGTGGACAAAGACGATACCGGTGACACGCCACCGTGGGGATCCGATCAGCGCGCCACTGCTGAATCCCATCAGCCCTTTACAGTCAACCCGTACAGTAAGGATGCGCGACAGGCCAACGAACGTCGCCAAGGATGCACCGAGGATGCAAGGATGCAAGGGTACCCTTGGGAAGGTTGCGCGTCCTTACTATGCGTGTTGACTGCACTGCTGAATACCACCGGCCCTTTAAGGCGAGAGTGGTTCAGAGCATTCATTATTCCCTCCCCCCTCCCCCTGGGTTCTGGGGCTGCGTTTCGCGAGGCATTAGAGCGTCCAAAGTTGCCTCCTCGAGGCGGCTAACATCATTGACTGTGCTAAAAAGTTTCGGCCACAATCTGGCCTACCCTGATTTACTACGGCCCCTCATCTGGTCGATCTCTCCCAAGATGGCGTCCGAGGCTCCCAAGAGTGCGCCAAGGCCGCCAAAGAGGTGCACAGGAGGCCCCCAAGTGGCCCCAAAGATGCCCCCAAGAGGCACTCAAGAGACCCCCCAGATGCCCCAAGAGGCCCCCAGAGGCACCCAAGACGCCCCGAAAGACCTCGGCGAGAAGGCCTGAATCAGTGATTTTACAAAAAGGGTTTAGCCACATTCCTCCTGGGGTGGGGGGACCATCTCCTCCAAGATGGCAACCAGATGCCCCCCGAGGCTCCCAAAGGTGCCCCAAGAGAGCCCCAAGAGACCCCTAACAGGCCCTCAAGATGCCCCCAAGAGGCTCGCAAGAAACCCCCAAGAGGCCCCAAGAGGCCTCCAAGAGGCGCCCAAGCCGCCCCAAGATGGCATCGGCGAGGATGCCAAAATCATTGAGTGTACTATGGTTTTGGCCACATGCTGGCCTCCTGGGGGGGGTCTGATTTACTACGGCCCCTCTATTGACCGATCTCCTCCAAGATGGACCCAAAATGGACCCCGAGGCTCCACACACTCGCTAAGCAGCAGCAGCAGGAAGCCTATGCCCTGACTGCTAAATGATGCGAAAAGGTCGGGCGCGCCGCCGCCAGAACACCAGCGCGACCACGATGCTCCCAAGAGTGCTCCAAGAGGGCCCCAAGAAGCGCCCAGGAGGCCTCAAGAGGCCCCAAGATGTCCCCAAGATGCCTTCAAAATGCCCCTTGAAGACTCACAAGAGACCCCCAAGACGCTTCCCCGAGGCACCCACGACGCTGCAAGAGGCACCCAGGACCGCCACGAGGCCCCCAAGAGACCCTAAGAGGCCCACAACAAGCTCTCAAGAGACATCCGACGAAACTCCGAGGGACATCCAAAAGACCTCTGGCCTTTCTGCTCGCCCTCCTCCTGCTCCTCCTTCTCAACCTCCTTTTCCTCCTCCTCCTTCTCTTCTGCCTCATCCGCATTATTCTCCTCCTCCCTCCCCCCTCCCCCCTCCGGCGGAGGCACGGGGACCGCCTCAATGCCATTCCGATCCCCCCCCCTCCTCCCCCCCCATCCCCCTCCTCCTCTGGTTCCTGCTCCCTCCACCCCCTCTTGGGGTATCATGGCTCCCCAGCATGGTCAAAATGAATCGCCTGCGCATCGTTTCGGGATGGACCGGCGGGGCTACGCGAAGCTTCTAAAAGAAACTCAGGACAACAACGCAAGAATCGCACACGCTGACTGCTGAGGGGCTCCTAACCGGCTCATTGACACCCTCTTTTCCCTCTCGATCTTCGCGACCTCGGGTCACGGGGGCCCTCCCCTCCTTCCTCCAAGCACCTCCCCGCCTTCCTCCGAAACGCCGTGCCCGCAAACTCCAGACACGTGCAGGGGGTATCGGCAGCCATCGCGGAGGCTCCTGACATCCAAGACGGCGCGGCGGAGAAACAGACTCCAGAACCTTCGGATCTCGAGCTCCAAGTAGGGAAGCGAACTCTATGCACCGACGCTTTTTCCGACCCTGCGCTGAAACTCGCACAGGAACGCGGATCCTGGTGTATACGGGATCATGGTGCATACATGTTTTCGTTTCCCTTGGACAACGGAGGAAACATATACACCACACCGCCCCGACGTCGTCCCCGACCCTCGAAAAACCGTGGGGCTGAAAAAAGCAACCCGCCACTGGCAATGTATGTACTCCATCGTCCGACCAAGATCGCTGCGCGCTGCACCGCGGAGCCTGTCTCTCCCGTCATCCGACCCGGGGCGTCCCGTCCTCTGGTCCTCGGTCCTCCTCCTCCGCCTCCGACCCGGGGCACCCGCCCCCTGCCTCTGAGATCTGTTCCCGGGACCTCTCCTGGGGCACACCCTGACCTTAGGAGGCAACTACTGGGAGGTTTTCGCCGGAAAGAGTAAAGAGGACGAAGCCCCATTTGGGAGCAATTACGCCAGAGTGGGCCTCGAATTCAGCGGAATTAAGCCGGATTAGGCGGCACTAAGCAGGATTAAGCCGGAGTTCGGACCAGGGCGAAAACAGAATTTGACCTCTCAGGAGTTGCATCCGAACCGACCTGGACCCCGGGAAGGTCCAGCCATTTCGATGACAAGCCTACAAGCCTCCAAAACAGTACCCAACACTTCGGGAAGGATGCTTGCCAACGTGGACCCCAAGCAGAATGCAAATGCGCTGTAAATGTGGAAGTTCCGTGGTACAAGCTATGCAATGCAAGACATGCGGTGCCAGCTATCTATGTAGAACTATAGATGTACACGTACACATGCACGAGTGCGTGCATGTGCGTGGGTGTGTGGTGTAAGCTCGGATGTGCAAGCTGTGTGCTGTAAGATATTTGGCGTTGGCAGCGTGTTGGAAGCTATGCGGCGCAAGCTACGTGTTTTAAGCTATGCGGTATAAGCTGCGCGGTGCAGTGGAGGTAGTGACAGCGGTGTGGTGCAAGCTGTGGGCGCAAGCCACGTGACGTATGACATCTGCTTGAGCTATGTGGCAACATTTCGTGAGTACTATCCAGCGGCCCAGCGCACGAGGCACAGCGACGCGCCCACTCGCTCAGCCACGGACGGGCGCCAGGGAAAACCCCGGCACCAAGGAGGAGGAGGAGGAGGAGGAAGTGGAGGAAGTGGAGGAAAAGGAGGCGGGGGGGAGGGGAAAGGGCGGGGGAAGAGGAGGAGGAGGAGGAGGAGGAGGAGGAGGAGGAGGAGGAGGAGGAGGAGGAGGACTACGAGGCGGAGGAGGAGGAAGAGGAGGAGGAAGAGGAGGAGGTGGAGGAGGAGGAGGAGGCGGAGGAGGAGGAGAAGGACGAGGAGGAGGAACACCCAGCGCACGAGGCGCCCACGGGAACCCGCGGCACCACACGGGCGGGCACCGCGCGAGATCTCGGGCGGCACCGCCGCCCAGCGCCCGAGGCGCCCACGAGGCGTCCACGTGGGCGGGCGCCGCGCGAAGCCCCCCGGCAGACCCACCCAGCGCACGGTACGCCCTCGAGGCTCCCACGGACGCCAGCTGGCCGGGCACCGGCCGCAACTCCCAGCGGACCAGGCCCACTGCCAATGCCCCAGCCATCCCAGCAACAACACTGGGGGAACAAAAAGTGGCATAAGCATAAAAACTCTGAGGTCCGCGCGGAGTCCTCGGATCGGCGCCGGGGCCCCCCGGCAGCGCCTCTGGCGCCGCCCCTGGCGCGCTCCGCGCGCCAGGGAGGGGGGTCCAGCGCCGATCCGAGAAATCCGCGCGGACCTCCGAGTTTTTATGTTTATGTCACTGTTTGTTCCCTTTTAGCAATCCCAGCAACAACGCCCAGGTGAGAGCACTCTTGCTTGGGGAGTCGCTACTCGAGCCTCGAGCTGCGCCTCTCCTCGTCCACGCCTCTCCTCGGGACCAGGCCCCACGAAGCCCGCTTGGGCGCCAACGGGTCGCGTCTTCAAAGGCCTGGCCGTGACGAGACAAGGGACACCTCCTCCCGAGGCTCCAGAAAGATCAAGAGGTCAGAAGCCATGGGGAACCCTAGCCACATCCGCGAACACCCTCCTCCTCTTTCCCCCATTCCTCCTCCATGGTCTACACTACGTCACGATGAGCCTTCTTGTGTTGCTCCGCAGACAGCGTCGGCATCATCCCGCGAGAAACGATAAGGATGGGTGTGGCCTCTTCTTAGGTCGGGCATGTCCTCTTACAGGAGGATTTGGGAGAGCAAATGCAACATAATCCAAATATAATCAATCAGATTCACAAGAACACGAAAATCGTCCCCTTGCTATTTGCACTATTCTCGAATATTCCCCATGCAGAGAAACATGTCCGACTGAAGCCTACTATTCGAAGACGCCAACGTCGGCACACGGGCGCGGGGTTGAGGGGGGGCGGTCGACAGCCTCGCTTCCGACTAACATTGTGCGAAACTGAATGGGGCCCTGGGACACACAAATAAATACACACAAATAAACAGATTCCCAATCTTTTCCCATGTTTTCTGGGTTTTTGTCTTCCCCACAATCCCCATATTTTCTTATATTTTCTGGGGAGCCGACGATTAATTGTGTCTGTGTGTTTCTTTCCCTCCTGAGAAACATCATCCTCCTGCTCATCGTGGCTCCTCCCTCCCCCCAGAGGCCTCCCCAGGGTTCCTCGAGGCCTCCCGGGGCCAAGGGAGGGCGGAGACTGATCCGAAAAGGCAGCATGCCTCTGAGAGCCTGGATCCTCGAAGCCACTGTCGTCGACTCTCGGCCTCCCCACCGCCGCCGTCCTCGTCGTCGTTCGCGTATTGCCAGCTTCGTGGTCCGTCGGCCGTCCCAGCCGTCGGTCTCTCTCCCCTGCTGCAGGCGCTGATCCACAGACCTCCCACACTTTTCTGTCTGACATCCACGGCCACAAACCCACACGGAATGGGCAACAAATTAGGCGAGCTGCACGACCACAGGGCCACCGCCTCCTACGAGGAGGCAGCCCTGAAGCCGAGCGGCACTTCCGGCAGGTGGCCCCAGGACCTGCCGACCCCTGTGCGCATGGGCTCGGACGCCCATTTCCCGTGCAGTGTTCGGTTTCGTGCGTTTTTTTTTGCTCGATGGTCCAGGATGTTCCTCGATGGTTCTCGCCGAGAAAAAGTGCACACGTCCGAGCGATGCCAAGACCCCTGCCCGCACGGGCTAGGCTCTCGGGCAGGGGGTGGGGAGGGCGAGGGAGGCGGCCTCTCGGGAAGGCCGCGGGCTCCCGAGGCAGCATTATGTACGCAGGCTCCTGGCAGAGCCTCTGCAAAAGGCGCAGCCTCGAATCCACTGCCGTCGACCCTCGGCCTCCCCACCGTCGTCGTCCGAGGGCGAATAAGGGGAACGAACAGCGACATGAACGTGAAAACTCGGAGCTCCGCGCGGATGATTTTTCGCATCGGCGCTGGACGCCCCCCGCCGGCGCCTCCGGCGCCGCCCCTGCCGCGTCCAGCGCCGATCCGAGAAATCCGCGCGGAACTCCGAGTTTTCATGCTTATGTCCTTTCGGGTCGGGCGAAAGGGGGGGATAGCAAAGGGGGGGTTGAGAATCAGCTCACGTATAGCTGACTTCCCCGGCGCCTCCCGGCGCTGGAGGCGGCCATGTGTCGAGGAATGGGCCCCTCGGTGAGGCCGAAACCAGCTGCACGCAGCAGATTTCGTACCCCCCCCCCCTTTCCCAATCCCCCCTTTCCCCGAAAGTAGGGAAAAACCTCCCGTCGGGACATTCGTCACACCGCGAGGGGGTCTGAGTCCTTCTCCCTCCGCCTATCCCCCCCCTTTCGTAGCCCCCCTAACCGACCTGCAGGGAAGGGACCGAGAGGTCCAGGGTCCAGCGCCCCCTTCGTCCGGCCCGATCCTTGTTCGTTCCCCTATAGCGAGGCGGCGGGGGGGCGGCGGCCCGCGGCGGCCGGCGGCTGGTCGCCGCTCCCGGGCCCGGCGCCCAGGAAGTCCACGGCGTGGCCCGCGGCCTGCCGCGCGGAGGAGCCACGCGAACGTGGGCGCACCGGCAGCGCGCGGGGGGCGCGGGGCGGGGGGGAAGCAAGCGGACTGCCTACAGGGTAGTTTTTAATACATAGGATGTTTAAAAGATATGTGATGCTCCATACATGACTAATGTGTGAATAAATGTATGCACGAACTCATCGTGGTTTTTGATACTAAATCTCTGCAATTGTAATACATGATCCGCACGCGGAACATGTATTAAAAACGGTACTGTACCATTAAGTCGGGCCTGTCTGCCTACAGAGGGATCTTCGACGAAAAATTAAGAACACTCCAAACATACTCCCAAAAGACTTGAAAATAGTTTTTTAAAAATGATTCCCAGACAATTTTTCGACTTCTTTGAAATATTCCTCCTGTGGAGGGACAAGCCCGACTTAAGCCTACCAGGATGTGGACGCCCGAAGTGGGTACGGAACAAATTGGGCACGATGCCCACCAACAAGTGTTGTCCCGAACCAACAGCGGCCGCTGTTGGGCAGGCGGCCGCCTGTCTCAAGTGGACCCAGGCCGCGGCGGAGCGGGAACGAGTCCTGTTCAGAATGAGCAGGAACTGGTGTTGGGCATTGTACCCATTCTTTCCGTACCCATTTCGTTCGCGCAGATACCAGACCACCCCGACCCAGTCCGAAGACCCGAATTTCGGGTTGGGGGGGACACGGGCTCCAGGTGTGTGCTGTCAATGTTCCCCGACCCCCCCACATTGGAAATGGAGGGCAAACTGCGGCGTTAGGGTTGCGTTGAGTTGGGTTGGGGGTCCGAACTGATGGGGCCGGAGGATCTCGTCGCATTGTTGACACATCGGCGATGCATCGCCCATGTGTCGGCGATGCATCGGCAATGTACTGGCAACGCCGGCGATGCATCGGAGACGCCAGCGTGGAGAAAATCGGGCTCAACATCGAGCCGCATCGCCGATGCATCACGGATGCATCATCGATGCATCGCAGAGAAATCGGCGATGCGGCGCGATCCTCCGACCCCATCTACTCGGACCCCATCCGGGAGGCCGAGGGGGAAACGAACAAGGAGGGGGACTGCGACCCCATCCAGGAGGCCTGGAAACCAACGGGTGGGGGGGAAGAGGCTCGAGGGTCTGCAGAAAAGCGGCCCTCAAGGGGCCTCAGGCGGCCCCAAAGCTGCGACCTCGGGAGCGGCCAAGAGGGGGGTGTCCAAGAGGGGGGGGGGGGGGGCAAATCATGACCGGTGGCATGTGCGCGGCCCAGCGGGGGGGCCAGGGACGTAGTTGGAATAAGAAGAGGCGTCATGAAGTCTAAGGAAACATCATGGCCCCTGCCATGGAATCCACCCCCCCCTAATGATCACCCCCCTCTTTGCCGCCCCCGACGATCGCGGGCCCAAATGAGGTGCCGGAAAGGTGATCGCGCGCGCTGGTCCCGGCTTTGATCAAGGGGCCCAAGGACACACAAACAAATACACACAAATAAAAGGATTCCCCATACTTTCCCATATTTTCTGGGTTTCTGTCTTCCCGCCCAATTCATATTTTTCCAGATTTTCTGGGGGATCGACGATGACTCGTGTCTGTGTGTTTTTTCCCCTCCCGGCTCTGAAAGGTCGCGGCTCTCCGGCAGCGCAGATCGCTCGGCAGCGGCGGCGGGTTCTGGGGCCCCGGCGGCGCGCTCCACCTCGGGCGCCCCCGCGCCCGGGTGGGGGTCGCTGCCGCGCCGGCTGCAGCCAGAGCGTGTGCAAGCGCGCGGAGGGGTCTGGGAGCAAGGGGCCCGGAGCAAAGGCAGTGTGATCGCTTGTGGCTTATGAGTGGTTGCAGCTGCAAGCGTGTGTCGCTGGAGGCGGTTGAGAAATGCAATCGCTTGCCGCTGACGTAACGAAAGGGTTGCAATGCAACCGCGTGGCTCTTGAACTGATGCAGCGCAATGGTTTGTGCAATGCGTATGCCCGATGAGGCCAGGGTGACCATCTTGCAACCGATGGTCTTTGCGGGGTGGCCATTTTGCGAAGCATTCGACAGATGGCGCACAAGATTGCTATCCAATGGTATGGCTGGTGGCTGGGCCAAACCACTGCATTGCACTCATTTGCGTTCCGGTCCCGATGTGCAAGACGTGGCACTGCAACCGTAAGCTTCAGCAAACACACGACTGCTGCACGCGAGTATATGCCAGCCTGACCGAATTCGCGGTTCATGGCAGAAGTGCCCACAATCACATCACTGTCGGGCATCTGGACACTTTTTACCAGCCTGGAACATATCCCTATCCCTATGCTGGGCATCTCCTCATGACGATGCCAATCTTAGGGATTCCCTTATTTCTGAGGGCGGATCCCTAAGATTGTCATCGCCTTCTGGCGTGTCAATCTTAGGGATAGGGATACGTTCGAGGCTGGTGAACTTTTGCAGCAAAAAGCTCTGTAGTCTCTAGAGAAGCATGCCGTAGCTCCTCGAGCAAATCGAAAATCGCGGTGACGGGGCTCTCGCAATGTATACTCTCCTGGAGTCTGCTTCCCGTCCCCAGGACCCTCAACGAAGGGTACCGATCGGGGGGGGAGAGGCACCGGGAGGGAACCGTCGATCTGGAATCGCGGAAGCCCCTTTCCTGACCCCAGGACCATCAACGAGGGGTACCGATCGGGGGGGAGAGGCACGGGGAGGGAACCGTCGACCTGGAATCGCCGAAGCCCCCGACAACGAGCTCGCACGCTCCTGGGCGCGGTGAGTCATCGGGCCCCTGTCGGCAGTGGATGGGCGGTTGGGGGTCGATGCATCCCCAGACCCCCGACATCGTGATTTCGTTCACAGCCTCGACCCCCAGAGATCCTGACCCCTCCCCAGGGACCCGCTCTTCATCTGAAGTCGTTTTCTGACAGTCCTGGGGCCTGGCGAGTGCCAGGTCGGGCAAATGGGGGGGATAGCAAAGGGGGGGAATAAGAATCAGCTCACGTAGCTGATTCTCCCGGCGCCTCCCGGAGCCAGAGGCGGCTATGTATCGAGGAATGGGCCCAGCGACGGGGCCGAAACCAGCTGCATGTAGCAAATTTCGTAACCCCTCCTTTCCCAATCCCCGCCTTTCGTCCGGTCCCAAAGTGCCCCTGGAGGCCGAAAGCAGGGAAAAACCTCCCGTCAGGATATTTGTCACAACGCGAGGGGGTCTGAGTCCTTCTCCCTCCGCCTATCCCCCCCCTTTCGTAGCCCCCCTGACGGACCTGCAGGGAAGGGACCGAGAGGTCCCGGGTCCAGCGCCTCGAAACACAACGAAGCCTTCGGAGGTGACGGGACATGCGGCCAGGCATCCAAGGGAGCCCGTGCAAAAGGCGGGGGGGCGGAGGGCCGAGAAGCCACGTCCAGTCCCGCACCCAGCCGCGAGAGACCCTCGGCACCTCCCGGTGCTCGGCCTCGGCCCGCAGACAGGGGGCCGCCGTCCACAGCCGCCCGGGCTCAAAACTTCCCGGCGCCCGAGCAGCACCTCGAGTGGGAGTGGTCGCGTCGGCCCCTCACTTGCCTCCACGAGGTGCCAGGGGGAGTGCGGGGCGGCTGCGTCTGCGTCCGCCTGTCTTGAGGCCGCCGCGGCCGGGCCCGAGCAGCACCTCGATTGGTCGCGTCGGCCCCTCGCTTGCCTCCACGAGGTGCCAGGGAGGAGTGCGGGGCGGCGAGGAGAACGAGGGGGAGGACGAGGAGGAAGAGGGGGGAGGAGGAGGAGGAGGAGGAGGAGGAGGAGGAGGAGGAGGAGGAGGAGGAGCAGGAGGAGCAGGAGGAAGAGGAGGAAGAGGAGGAGGAGGAGGAGGAGGAAGAAGACAGGGAGATGCCCTTCCCCGCTCTCTCGGCCTCGAGCCTCTTGGCCTGCGAGCTCCTTGGCGGCGCCTGCGCCCGCCTGCCTTAAGGGGCCGCCGCGGCCCCGCCCCGACGGCCATAGGCCACGGGCTCTCGTCGGGCGGCCGCGACCTCGGACGCCTCGACCGCCGGGGCCCGGGCGCGGCTCGGGGCTCGACGGTCGGGTCGGGCGTGTCTCCCTGCGGCTGCGGATGCCACGACAGTGGGCACGCTCACAGTCTCATCGTTGAATCTAGAACGTATAGGAAGAGACAGTTCTAAACATGTCTTAAACATGTGTTTTCCATGTTTACAACACGTTTAAACACATGTTTTAGACATCTGGAAAGTATTTGGCAACATGCTTCCTCTCCATCGATCGTCCTCCACAACCCTACGGGTGGGCTTTGGAAGAGAAGGGCAACATAGCCAGCTAAATATGCAACAATAGTTTAGAAAGTGGTCGAAGACTCGTACCCAGACTGTTGTTTTGACTATTTTTGAATATCCCCCCTGTAGAGGGACAGGCCCGACTGAAGACTCGGGGGGGAGGGCGCACGGCGCGACCCCTGGCGAGAGGCTATAGGGACGGGGGACGGCGCGCACGGAGGCGGAGGGAAGAGCGGACGGGGCATGGTCGCCATCTGGCCGCTGGCCGCCACTCGGCACAGAGGCGCACAGCAGGTGTGCATTGGCAGCGGGGGGCAATCTTGGGGGGCAGGAGGAAGCATCAGGAAGACAACCGTGGGGGGCCGCATGATTGGTTGTCCGTCAAACCTCGAGCATGGTCTCCAACTGCCGCCTCTCCGTCATGAGCTGCGTCGACCTTGGGCGAAACACCATATACTGCCGCATCTCAACCGACTTCTAACTTCGATTTGGGAGCCCGCGTCGAGCCATGTGGGTCAGGGTGCTGAAACCTGGGTAACATCACAGCTCGCAAGCAAGAGTGTAGAGCGACCTCCCATACGAAAGCTAACCAGAGTCAATGCGGTATGTTCAGCGACCATCCTGATCCTTCCAAAGCGGACGACCAGAGGTTTTTAAGGAGCATGCGCATCCTGGGCTGCTGCAGTGGAATCCTTCAGCTGCTCTTCCTTGCGGCGCGGGCAACCACTCTGCACACATGTACTCGAGAAGTATGCCTTCATCCACCACATGCGCACGTGTGCACCCTACACGCATGCACAAGTGTCTGCGTGTGTCCCCATCGCCACACAACACAACACACGACGTTGAGAAATAATGTACTTCACCCAATGCATCTTCTGGCTGGCTCTCGGAATTGCTGGCTCGTACATCCGATATCCTGCCTACTCGCATTGGCCCGCACTTTACCTGGGATCTGACAGTTTTGGCTCAAGATGATTTCGCCATGCGTGCGGATGCGCAATACATGTGAAGTCTCAAGCCGAACTCGGTACGCTGATGCTGCACATGGCCAGAAGCCCATAAGCCCTTCTGGGCGTGAGTGGTTCAATTGAAAAGGTTTCTCTTATAATCCCCCTCCCTTCTTCCCCTTTGGAAGCGGATTTACCCCTCCCCCTACCCCCTACCCCTGGACCTGGACGCCCAAGATGGCCTCGGCGAGAAGGCCAAACTCATTGATTCTGCAAAGGTGTTGGCCCAATGTCTGGCCTCCTGGGGGGGGGACACTGATTGAGTATCCCCTCTTCGTTGATCGATCACCTCCAAGATAATCCCAAGATGACCCCCGAGGCTCCCAAGAGTGCCCCAAGAGGGCCCCTAGAGGCGCTCAGGAGGCCCTAAGAGACCCCCAAGATGCCCCAAGAGGCTCCCAAAAGACCACAAAGAGACCCGAAGAGGCTCCCCCGAGGCACCCAAGACACTTCAAGAGGCCCCCGGGACCGCCACGAGGCCCCCAAGACGCCCAAACAGGCCTACAAGATCCGAAGAGACTCCGAGAAGCATCCAAGAGGCCTCCAGCCTGGCTGTTCGTCCTCCTCCTCTTCCTCTTTCTCTTCCTCATCCGCAAAATCCTCCTGCTCCTCCCTCCTCCCTTCTCCCTCTCCCCTCCTCCCTTCTCCCTCTCCCCTCCTCCCCCTACCCCTCCTCCTTCTCCTCCTCCCCTCCTCCTCCGCTAATTCCTCCTCCATCCGGACCCGCTTGGGTTTGACGGCTTCGCGGCCTTTATTCCACTGCATGCTTCCCCACATGACTGATCAGGGCAACTCGCCTGGGAACCGTTTTTGGATTGGCTGGTGTGGTTTCGCGAAGCGTCTAGAAAAATTCAAGTGTCTGTGTTTTGGTTGTCCCAATAGGGGGTCCAGCTGAAAGGGGGTGATGCAATAGGTTTAGGGCAGTTGTATTGCAAACGTTTTGCGTCAGATAATGGTATTGTAGTGTTTTGCAGCTAACGTATTGCACGCGAAAACCCAGCAATACATTTGCGTCGCGGAATGCACGCCCCAAATCTATTGCAACCCACTCATACATATATGTATATATATATATATATATATATATGCACCACCCCCTTGTCGCTGGACCCTTTTTTGGGCCAATCAGATGTGTGCGTGGGGGGGCATCTGTCCTGTCGAGCGGCCATCTGGAGCCGCAATCAGGCAGTATGTTAGCCAGCGTGAACTCCATACAGCAGTGCATTACGGCACAGTGTAGGTGGAAGCTACGCAATATACAAGCTACGAGGTGGCACTTGTGTAGTGTAAGCTACAGGGTGTAAGCTGCAGAGGTAGATTCGCCGACTCTGTCGGCGTGTGGAAGAGGCTGTTCCGTTTGACTCATCGTCGTCGTCGTCGTCGTCGTCGTTGTCGTCGTCGTCAACTTCGCCACTCCCCCACTCCCCCCCCCCTTTGCCTAAGCCCGTCGCCGCCCACTCCCACTTTCACCGGGCCCTCCTCCTCGAGCGCTTCAACCACAGCGAAATTGAGCAACGTTGTAGTTTAGTCGATGGGAAGCCCCTTCCCTTTGATCCCTTCCCCGCCGGGGGGGGAGGGGGGTCCGGGGGGTGGGGTCCCGGGGCGGATACGACTCCCCCCCTGGCGGTTCGGGGGCCCAGAAAAGCCCCAAGACGCGGCAAAAGTGCCCCAAGATGTCCCCAAGACGGTCTTCAAGGGCCCCGAATCGCCGAAGTATCGGTCCAAGTCGCCAAAGTAACCTCCAGACGGCTCAAAAAGTTTCCAAAACGCCCCAAAAGGTTTCCAAGAGGACTCCCAAGACGGCCCCAGGGGGCAAAACGCGTCGATAACCCTTCGGTTTTTGGAAGATTTCAAAATTCTCGCCTTGTCAGCTTCCCGACGCTCCAAGACAGGCCAATAGGCCTCCGAGACGGCCCCAGGATGGCCCAAGAGGCCTCCAAGAGAGCTCAGCAACGACCCGAGAGGGCTTCAAGCCCGCCCAAGAGGCATCCAAGACAGCCGAGGAGGCCCCCAAGACGGCTCCAAGAGGGAACCAAGACCGGGGGACCCGAACGGACATTTCGATCCCTCGGTCGAAGGAGCTCTCAGGAAGCCCCCAGAGGCTCCTAAGAAGCCCCCACAGAGGCGTCAAGAGGCCCCTAAGAGACCTCCAGGAAGCCCCAAGAGGACCCCACGAGGCTCCAAAGCGGCTCCCAAGAGCTTCCCAAGAGGCCCCCAAAGTTTGGGGGTAGTTTGGGGCCCAAACTACCCCCGAGGCCCCCGAGAGCGCTCGTCGTCGTCGTCGTCGTCATTCAGGGTCGGCGGCACCGGCCACAAGGCCTTCACAATACAGTATGTGGTGATAACTACTGGTCATCGCTCGGACGTCCATTCCCTGGTGTTTTTTTCGGTTCCGTGCGTGGCTTTTCGCCAAAGGATCAATGATGCTCCCCGATGGCCCTCGCCGAATGAAAAAGGCACACGTCCGAGCGATGCCAAGCTGAAGAAACGCAACTCAGAACCTCAGAGGGCCGCTCGAAAGAGGTGCCACCCGCCACCGAAGAATGCCGAACGAAGCCCTGGGTCTCTCGGCCGAGGCCCAAGTCCCCGACGTCTTAGCGCCTCTACACGAAGGGGCCCCAGGACACAAAATAACAGGATTCCCCATATTTTCCTATGTTTTCTGGGTTGTTTGTTTTCCCCCCCACTTCCCATGTTTTCCGATATTTTCTTGGGAGTGGACGATGAATTGTGTCTGTGTGTCTTTTTCCCTCCTGACTATAATGCGCCGTGCTCTGATGCTCCCGGCCGCAGGCATCCAGATCAGATTCGAGAAGTAGTGCGCCTTATGTTCTGTCTGCCGCGCGGCCCAAAACGGGGCACGAGCCCATGGCAAAACTGGTCTCCACCCACCACAGGCCAATACTGCGCATCCCCGCCGCACGTAGGTCCTTCTCGTCGGTGGTGGCGTTGATCAAACTTGCCTCGCTTATCAACCGCTTGCTCTCCAGCACCACCTGACGAACGCCACTCTCTTGTAAGCACAAACATATTCCTGATCGTGCTGCTTCCTCCTGTTGCGTCTCCCTACTCCCCGTTCTCTCGCATCCTCACTCCCCCCACCTCCCATCCCTCCATCCCCTCATCCTTTTTGTTCCTCGTGTCGTCGTCGTCGTCGTCGTCCTCTTGCTCCTCCCTCCTCCACCTCCTCCTCCTCATCTTTATCTTTATCCTCCTCATTCTCCTGAGCGTGGGAGGGAGGAAACACGGAGAATCGGGCACGAACGCCTGCTCCAGGAAGAGGACGGGAGGACGACGAGCCGCCTGACATGTCTACCCCTCGTCGTCGTCGCCATCATGCTCCTCCTCCCCCCTTCTCATTCTCTTGAAACGCATACTCCTCTCCGCTTCTACATGGCAATTAAGCACGGGTGTTCCCGCCTCTATGGCTTATTGCTACTGGTGCGCCAGTGTTATTCATGTGATGTTGCCCGCATGCTTGTTTACGATCGAAACGTCTTTGGTGCATTAGATGTGATGGACATGTCATGTCTTGCCGTTGTCGACACCCCAGCTTTTCCCCCTCTCTGACGTCCTCTCCTCCTACTATTCCTGCTCTTCCTCCTCTGTATCATGCTCATCCGCCTCCTCTTCGACCTCCAATGAACACATCCCCCCTTTCGATTTCACGGCAAAGGATAGGGCAACTCATGCAAGTGCCATTTCGGAATCAAGGGCCCCTAGGATAAATGACACCCCAATCGGAGGGTGGAAACAAAAATGTATAAACATAATGGGAACGGATGGGTACCGGTGGGTCGAATAGCAGATGTGGCACGAGCACGCCTACCTTGTCTCGTCCCTCTCTCCCTTCTCCGCTGGTAGGGAGTGAGGACGACGACGAAAACCAGACTGAGAAGGAGACAAGGACAGGACGGAATAGAGGGAGAGGAGGAAAAGGAGGAGGAGCCAGGCGTGGACAGGAAGAGGAGATAGGGATCAAGGCAGGAGCAAACGCGTGGCCTCCCTTCACGAGCCTGGCCCTTGGTCAGTCGCACTGGCCACTTATTCGCCAAGCCGAGCAGCCCTTCTTCTTAGCCGAACAACACAACGTGTTGACCTCCGAGTCCAAAAACAGCCAGCCCCAGGGAGGGGGATCTGGACCTCCGGGTCCATGCTGCGAGAAGCTCACGGCGCCGGAGTGATCGAGGATGGCGAGGAGACGTGAGGGCGAGGGGCACGACAGCGAGGGCGACAGCGAGGGCGGCGGCGACAAGGCGGGGGACGGGCGAGGATGGAGAGGAGTGGAAGGAGGACGGGGCGGAAGACGAGTAAGGGCCCTCCTCCTCCTCCTCCTCCTCCTCGTCCTCCTCAGACCCTCCCTCCCTTCCGTTTCGTCCTGCCCCTCCTCCCCCCCTCCTCTAAATTGCATGATCCTTCCCCTCCCGTTTCCTTCCCCCACTTCGCCATCGATCCGAAGAGGACGACAACCATGGCGCCGGTGACGAGCACCAGGACGACGACTGGCCATCGCTCGGACGTACATTTCCTGTGTTGTTTTCGGTTTCGTGCGTGTTTTTTTCGCCAAATGATCAAGGATGCTCCTCGATGGTCCTCGCCGAAAGAAAATGCACACGTCCGAGCGATGCCAAGGCGAGGATCACGACGACAAAGACGATGACGACGGCGTCGCCGAAGGCGAAGAACGAGGACGGCTTCGACGAGAACAACGACTCGGCGGTGCGCACATGGCGGCGGGGCCAGGGGTGAAGGGGCCCTGGGACACACAAATAAATACACACAAATAAAACGATTCCCCATATTTTCCCATATTTTTGAATTTTTTGTCTTCCCCCCCACTTCCTATATTTTCCTATCTTTTCTGGGGAATGGACGATTAATTGTGTCTGTGTGGTCTTGCCCTCCTGAAAGGGGCGGCCTTGACGCAAGAAGACAGGGGTGCCGGAGGCTTCTCGGAAGGCTCCTTCGGAGTGCGGGGGGGCATCCGGGAGGCCAATGCCTTCTTGGAATCCCGCCACCCTTGCACTCTCACCTGCGCGTGGCTCCAGCACAAGAATGTCGACGGCGCGTGTCGACGACGTGACGACGACGACGAGGACGACGGCAATGACGATGTCGACGACGACGACGACGACGACGACGACGACGACGACGACGACGACGACGACGACGACGACGACGACGACGACGACGGCGGCGGCGGCGGCGGCGGCGGCGGCGGCGGCAGCATCAGATCCGACGACGAGGAGCACGACGAGGAGGATCGAGCAAACCTTGCCATCGCTCGGACGTCCACTCCCCGTGCATTTTTCGATGTCGTGCGTGTATTTTTTCGCGAGGTGGACCACAATGCTCCTCGATGGTCTTCGCCGAGAAAAAATGCACACGTCCGAGCGATGCCGAGAAACACAAGCTGCGCAAACCCAGACTCGCGGAGATTCGCGCGGATCTCTCGGATCGGCGCTGGGACACCGCGGGCGGCGCCTCTCTGGCGCCGCCCTTCGTGGTGCGCCCCGCGCGCGCCCGGGAGAGGGGTCAGGCGCCGACCCAGGAAGGCCGCGTGGACCTCCCCGGAAGCGCGCGCGCTCCTGCAAACTGCCCCTCTCGCCATCGCTCGGACGTCCCTTCCCTGTGCTTTTTTTTCGGTTTCGTGCGCGTTCTTTTTGTTGCTCGAGGGTCCAGGATATGGTCCTCGAGGTTTTTCTCGCCGAGAAAAAAATGCCACACGTCCGAGCGACGCCGAGCCTCCGAAAGCGCGCGCGCTCTCCTGCACCTGCCCCTCCGAGCGGAGTGTCGCGGAGAGCGAGGACGACGACGGCGCCCAACGGCTCGAGGCGATCGACGACGGCGACGGCGACGCGCCCGCGGCGGCTGGCCTGGGGAGGCTGCGGCCGGAGGGCCGAAGGCGTGCAACAGCCTCCTCGCCATCGCTCGGACGTCCGTTCCCTCGTGTATTTTTCGGTTTCGTGCGTGGCTTTTTCGCCAAATGATCAAGGATGCTCCTCGATGGTCCTCGCCGGGGAAAAAATGTACACGTCCGAGCGATGCCAAGGCCTCCGACAGACCCCAGGGGAGCCACCGACAAGAAAGGAGACCGCGCGCCAGCGCCGGCAGCTGCGGCGGCGGCGGTGCCCGAAGCGCGCCAAGGAGACTGGGCGGCGCGCAGAGAAGGGTCGGGGTGGGGGGGAGGGCTTCTTAGAGAGAGGCTGCCTTTTAGAAGGCGCGGGCATCAGATCGTCTACAGCCAAGGCCCGCGCCTGCTAAGAAACAGAAGTGCTTCTGGGGAATCGAACTCTATACCCCGACGCTTTTTCCGGCCCTGCATTGAAATTTGCACTGGAGAGCGGATCCTGGTGTATGCGAAGCCCTGGTGTGTACGTATACATTTGTCGTTGTTTCCTTGGGACATTGGGGAACAAAAAGCATACACCACACCACCCCAGCGGCGTCCCCGACGCTCCAAAAGTCCTAGGATTGAAAAACAGCTCGCCACCGGTAATGTACATGTTCCAGCTTCCGAGTTTCCCCCTCCCCTTCGGGAGCGGCCAAGAGGGGGGTGTCCAAGAGGGGGGGGTGCAAATCATGACCGCCAGCATGTGCGCGGCCCAGCGGGGGAGGCCAGGGACGTAATGAAACAAGAAGCGGCGCGATGAGATCCGGGGAGCAATCATGGGCCACGCCATGATATCCACCCCCCCTGTTCATCACCCCCCTCTTTTCCGCCCCCGACTTGCCCCCCGTTTGCGCGTGGCCGAGAGGAGGCCCGGGCCGCGGGACGGGCGCCTGGCGGGCCGCGCTGCCAGCCTCGCTCGCCTGCCGCCGCAGGGTCTGCTCCAGGCGGGCGGTCTGCGGGCCGCCGTCGCTGCAGTCGTCGTCGCCGCCGCCGTGGAGGGTCGCGGGGAAGGAGAGAAGGAAGGATGATGAGCGATTGGGGAGGAAGCGCATGAGGCGAATGGTCGTGGATGCCACGACAATGGACACTCTAACAATCCTATCATTGATTTCAGGATGTGTTCTAAGTGTGTAAAGCATGTTCTCAAAACGTGTCAAACATGTTTTTACGTATTTGAGACACGCTTGAAACATCTGTTAGCCATCTGGAGACTATTTAGTAGCATGATTCCTCTCCATGGATCGTCCTCCACAAGCGTATGGGGGAAGCAAGAGAACGGTCCGCCACCCCACCCCGAGACAACGGGTGGAATGTCATCGAATCCCTGCGGATTCTCCGTATTGCATGTGGGTGCTGAGGGGGCCAGGAGCCCAGATTCAGGAAATTCCCATGTGATCGCGGGGTGCGTCGCGTGACTTCTCCAAGCACCTCAGGAGCATGGTTCGGAACCCGCGCTTCCAACATGTCCGAAGATACTCCCAAAGGTCCGTCCTGGCAGTCTTGGCACTTGGGGACCTGCTTGTAGACATGCGGAGGTGTTTCAGCGAGTGCCACATGCTGGCCATGTCGACCTTCAAGGCACGACGGCGAATGAGGCCAGAGATGCCCAAAAGCCCCATGAGGGGGCCGAGTGGGCCCCAAAAGGCCGCAAAAAGAGGCCCGAGTGGGCCCTAAACGCCCCGCAGCCCACCAAACGGTTTAGAATATACCCCCAACACCACGGCCCCAAAGACGCCGCAAAAGTGTCCCGAAAAAGGCCCCCGACAGGGCCATGGAGGGATCCAAACTGCTTCTTGCCCACGACCTAGGCACGGTCGCTGGATGGGCCGAATGCCACCTAGTGGCTTGAAGAGGACCAATAAGACCCTGGCCAGGTCCCGGTCAGCTCCGCCCAGAACACCCCATGGGAGGGTCATTTTTCGACACTCTTCACGAGAATCGTGGCCTCCAGGGTGGGAGCCGCAATCGACTGCCCCCCCTCCCGCCCCAAGAGACCCCCAAGAAACCCCCAAGAGGCCCTGGGGGCCCCCAGAACGCCGCCCAGGAGCCCCAAGAGACTCCCAAGATGTCTCCAAGAGACTCTAAAGAGGGCTCCAGGGCTGGCGGAATGAGCGAAGCAATTGAAAAATATGGGCGAGGATAGGAACCGAGAACATGTGCAAGTCAGCCGCCTTCCTCCCAACTGCGATCGTTTCCCCCCTTCCTCCGAAGAGGGAAGGGGGAAGGGGGAACCAGGTGGACGTTTACATTTCCGCCCTTTGGACGAAGCCCGGAACGCGAGTCAAATAACGAGCGCCTTATGGCTGCCCCCACAAATCCACCGCCCAATTGCATTGGAACCGCCACTCTGGTGCGCGAGGCCCCCCGCGAAGTGGCTCTGACGCGGGGCGCGCTTGCCCCGGCGAGGGAGCTGGGGGGAATCATTCGACATCGCGAAACAGCCGCTGTGCGAAGCCGTCGCGCCGCGATTCCAGGGCATGGCCCAGCTGCTGCACAGGAACACCAGCAGGCCCTTGACGCAGATGAATCTCTCGCGAAAGGAATGCCACATCTCCTGCCTCTGCCAGCGGGTGGACTGCACAAACGCGCAGCGCGCCGAGAAGACACTCAGCGCCTCCCGCCGCGCGAGGCCCGCGTAGGCACGGTGGCCCAGCAGGCGCGCTGAGTCCTGGCCCGATATCGAGCCGCGCTGCAGCGCATGCGCCAACGCTCGCTCAAGGCGAGCGCGCCTATTGCCAGCGATGCTGGCGCAGACAGAGCTGCTCGCCGCCCGCCGCGGCGCTCACCGCGGGGCCGCGCGCCTCGAGCAGCTCGAGCACCTCCGCCTCGCGGGCGTCGAGGCGCACCCAGTTGAAGACGGACGCCTTCCCTGCGAGGGCCTCCGTTGCGGAGTCCGCGCACTGGCGGGGCGCGCCCAGGTTGTCCGCGCAGACGTAGCGCCACAAGCCGAGGCGATGCTGATTGGCCAGCCGAAACCACCGACTCTCCCGTGTCGGTCGCCAGCCGAGCCGCCCGCGGCAAGTGGCAGCCGCTTTGCCGAACTGGCGCCCGCGTTCTGGGGGCCAGGGGCACCCCGTGGGGGGGGGCCTGCAGCCGTGGTAGACCACCTCGCTGGCCTGTGCTAAGTAGCCCTCCACTGCCATCAGGCCGCCCCCCTTGATCTCGTCGACGGCGACGGCGGCGATTGCGAATGGCGGACTCGGCCGCGCGGTGGGAGCAGCTCTCGACGTCGCCGACGCCTGCCCAGATGCGCGGCGCCCTGAAGATCCCGCAGCTGGCGCGGTGGAGGAGGCAGGGGTCGCCGTCGACAGCCGCCTCCATCCTGGCGAACCCTTCCGCCGTGAGCAAATCCGCGCGAAGAGTGGGAAGCAGCCGCTGGAGGGGGTGCGGGCGGCAATTGTCTGCCGCATCTCTTGAGCCCCTTCTCCCAGGCAAAGACAACCTCAGCGAACTCGACTGGGCGTGCTGGAGCATGCCCGCCGCGCCCCATCGTCTCACGAAGCGCGTCGTCTGCCGCCTGCTCTTTGCGAGCCCGCGTTCGCGGGCTGACTCAAGCTAGAACGTTTAATCTTCAAGTGTTTGCGTTTTGATCTTCAAGTGTTAGGCCTCCTCCTCCTGCTCCTCCTCTTCCTCCTCCTCCTCCTCCTCCTCCCCCTCCTCCTCTTCCTCCTCCTCCCTCCTCCTCCCCCTCCTCCTCTTCCCCCTCCTCCTCCTCTTTCTCCCCCTCCTCTTCTGCCTCCTTCTCCTCCTCCTTCTCCTCCCCCTCCTCCTCTTCCTCCTCCTCCCTCCTCCTCCCTCTCCTCCTCTTCCCCCTCCTCCTCCTCCTCCTTCTCCCCCTCCTCCTCTGCCTCCTTCTCCTCCTCCTTCTCCTCCCCCTCCTTCTCCTCCTCCTTCTCCTCCTCCTCTTCCTCCTCCTCCTCCTCCTCCTCCTCCTCCCCTCCTTCCATGAATCCATGAATGCCGCGCCTCTTCCTCATCCTTGTTCTCCTCCTTCGTCGTCAAGAACAGCAGCGAGCGCGAAGCAAGAGGAATTTTGTTTCGTGCTGTGTTTGACGACGAACCCCACCCTTCCTCCCCATCCTCATCCTCCTCCTTCTTCCTCCTTCCCCTTCTCCCCCTCATTCCTCAATCCATCCTTCTCCTCCTATTATTCGTCCTCCTCCTCCTCCTCCTCCTCCTTCTCCTCCTCCTCCTCCCTCCCTCCCTCCCTTCCTCCCTCCACTCCTCCCTCCATCCTCATATCCATCATAGTATTATTATTAATAACATATTCAGTCAGATTCTCCCTCCACCTCCTCATAGTCATTGGTCCTGCCAGGGTTGGAGGAGGGGGGGGGGGGCTCCTTCTCCTCCCTCTGCCTCCTCCCTCGCTCCCCCATCCTCACTCCCTCCTTCCTCTCCTCCTCCTCCTCCTCCTCCTCCTCCTCCTCCTCCTCCTCCTCCTCCTCCTCCTCCCTCCCCTCCGATGTCGTCGTTCCTTTTCCTCCCCCTCCTCCTCATCCCCCTCCTCCTCCCCTCCCCCTCCCCGCCGGGGAGGAGGAGGAGTGTAGTCCTCCTCCTTCCCCTCTTCATCCCCCAGGTTGACGGGATATGGCGAGGGGAGGGGCAGGTGGGGGAAGAGGGGGCAGGGGCTGAGAGCCACCCCGTTGTGGTGTTTCTCTTGTCGATCAATGGATCGAAGTTTGCGCGGTTGTCGGCGCGCTCAGGCTTGGTTCTAAACAGGGGCACACCATGCGGCGTCCAAAACAGGCACCCCCAGAGCCCCCCAGACGATTGGGATCCTAGGCACAGTGGCAGGACAGGCTGATGGTTGCCATGAAGCGCGTCTGAGTATGATTGTCATGTATATGTGCGTGTGTACTTGTAAGTGTGCATGTCTGCACATTTATACATTATGTGTACAAATTTGTATACTCAACACAAATATATATATATATATATATATATACATATATATGTACACATCAGCCAATGTGAGGGTGTCTATGTGTGTATGCTTACATGTATGCATGTATGCATGTACATATGTGTGCATAGATGAGTAGATGTGCGTACACATGTACGCATGCATGTATGTGCATACGTGTGTGAGTGTATCTACATACACTAGATGCATACAGTTTACAGTTGGGGATATGTGGTGATGTTACGAGAGGAGGGGGTCAGGAGTAGAAGAAGAGAGGAGGATATATGGTAGAGGAGGGGGGTGGAGGTGTGGGAGGAAGGAGAAGGGAGAGGAGAGCCCAAGAGCAGGTTTGCCTCCCCAAATGGTGGTTTTCTCTTGCTACTACGAGCACACATAAATGAACCCATAGTGGTGGCTCTGGACTGTGAAGCCACGTGAGTCGTCTGCTATATTTACAAGCTGGCTGCTCTTGTTCAGGTCAGCAGCAACTGCCCGGGCCGCTGCGATGGCAGCTTCCTCGAATGATTTCGTCTGCTCATCGCTCCATGAGCCCAGCAAAAGCATGCGACTCCACCCTGCGGCACGGTGGCCCAACATGAAGTCAGGCTGCAGCGCGCGCTTCAAAGCTCGAGCCTCTGATCGATAGAAATAGCCGCCCTCCCACCTCCAGATGGGGCAGGAGGTGGAGCCCACATAACATTTGCCCCCTCCTTTCAGTGCTGTCCTGACTGCCTGGCGGCACCGCTGCAGCATCATCTCCTTGGAGATATCCACAGCCACGCCATCTGGCCATACGCTGATCTGGGGCCATTTCACCACAGCTTTGGCCATTACCTCAAGCGCATCGTCCTTTGCGTGGCTCCATTTCACTGCTTCCTTGTTCACTCTATTCTGTGGTTGTCCAAATCGCCTCAAATTCTGCCTCCAGTGGACAAGGAGGAGGCGTCTCCTCTGCAATATTCTTCCTTCTTCTCTTTGCGTGCGCTGCTGCTACTGGGTCACAGTCTTCTCGTGCTTGTCTGAGGTTGTCCAGGGCGCTCGACGACA